ACACTAATGGGCTTAGGCCCATTGTTTTGACCTATTTCGTGGGATGAAAGTTAGGTTTTTCCGCTATATTGAGGGGACCAAAAACATCAAAACTTATACGAAGGAAATTTCAAAAACATATAAAACAGAAAAGAAAAGTTTTAACTACTAATGTAATGCACAAACTAACTAGAGCTCGTGACCAAAAAAAAAAAAAAACTAACTAACTAGGGCTAGAAAATATACAAGAGATCAGAAGCTTAATTCTTCTCCATCTTTAGTCAGATTTGATAGCATTGTCACGAGGAAGGATGTTACTATATCTGAGAGAGGAGTTATGATGGAGAAAGCCACGAGGCAAGTGAGAAGGATCCAGTAGAATAGCATGATTGGCCAGAGATGCGGAATATCGAAAATCGGGAAGAACGTCATCAGAAACACAATGCATATAGCCATGGTCGCAGAGTACCTGAAATCACAATCACAATGCAGGTAATCATATACCAAAAAGTTGTCAATGTATATTCACGATTTGACATGGCAATATATATATATACCATAATGCAAACTCAGAGAGTCGGCGAATAATTGTCTTGGACGCATCAAGACCTCTAGTGAATGCATAATAATCAACACGAGGAGACAAGAACCCGATAAGCAGATTCAGAAGGTAGATCCCAAGACCATAGCTAATGATGTAGAATCCTTGAATATGATAAACCCTCAAAGTGTAGAGATAATCCAGAACACAAGAGTTATAATCCATCTACAAGTTGCATGAGGTTTCACCATGTCTACCCATTGTTGAATATTCCTCCATGCCAGATTTGCTATATGTTGAAAGGGCGTGGAACCAATTTCTTCATCCAAAATTCTGAAACCTAGAGAGATTTAAAACAAAACAAAAATAATTGAACATAGACACAAGGCTTTGGTTGATTTGATTTTTTTTTTTTCAAACTATAAAAAACTACATATATGCATCAATGGCAAATTGGAGAATATATGACTCTTGTCATGCAACATAATTTTACTAAACGTATAAAAAGAAGTAATTTGAAGAAAACTAACCGTCCATAGCGAAAGTCCGGTGT